GATTTCTTACTGCTCAGTTGTCATTTACCCTTATTACTCACTGAGTTTGAGTACTCACTTTACTCCCTACACCTCGCGTGCAGATGCAGGTATTGATCACCCGATAATGGGTTTTGGCTGATCAGAGGCAGAGCTATAGGAGTAGCGAGGTGACTGCCTGCGTTCACAACACCATTTTTTTCTCTCTTTTGGTTCATTATTCCGGCTTGTATATTTTATGATTTGGTTAGCTTCGTTAGGTGATTTGTGACTTAGGAGCGTGATCGGAATTGGTTTTGGAGGTCCGGTGTAGAATTAGGCTTGAATTGGCGAAGTTAGTATTTTGGCGAATTCCGGTTGATAGGTGAGATTTTGATTCGAGGGTCGGAATGGAATTTCGAGAGTTGATGTAGCTTCGTTATGTCATTTGTGATGTGTGTGCAAAATTGCAGGTCATTCGGAGGTGTTTTGATTGGGTCTTTGATCGAATGCGTGTTTTGGAAGTTTTAGAAGAACATAGGCTTGAATCCGATGTAATTTGATAGTTTTGGTGTTTTTTGAGGTGTTTTGATGATTGGAACAAGTTTGGATGATGTTTTAGGATGTGTTGGTGCTTTTGGTTGAGGTCCCGGGGGCCTCGGGGTGATTTCGGATGGCTAACGGGGAGTTTTGAGTTGGAAAATATTGCAGAAAATGCAGCAGTAGGTGTAGGCCAGATTTGGCCTTCGCGTCCGCGAAGGTAGGCCCGCGTTCGCGTAAGGGAAAGTCCTCGAGCATCACATTCACGGTGAGGAGCACGCGTTCGCGTAGAAGAGAGTTGGGTCCCTGAGTCTTTGTGCTTCGCGTTCGCGTATAGATCATCGCGTTCGCGAAGGGCCCTGGGAGTATGCATCGCGTTCGCGTGACGTGTGTTGCGTTCGCATAAGAGGATTTGAGGTTCCGTAATATTTGTTCTTCGCGTACGCGGCATAAGGCTCGCGTTCGCGTAGTGGTAGCAGCTAAAGCATCGCGTTCGCGGGTAAGTCACCACGTTCGCGAAGAGAAAAATTGGCCAGTGGAATTTTTGTGCATCGCGAACGCGAGAGGGCCCTCGCGTTCGCATAGAAGAAATGTCAGCTGGACAGAAGGGTTTTAATAAATATTTCATCCGCGAGCTAAGCCCTATTTTCACCATTTTGAGCATCCTTGAGAGCTTTTGGACGGGAATTGAAGAGGATTTCGACTGGGATTGATTGGAGGTAAGCCCTATGAACTAAAAACACGATTTTATTGTGAAACTGACCTCGAAATCCATGGAAACTTAGCAAAAAGGGGAAGAACTAGGGCTTGAGTTTTAATATTTCAAATTGGGATTTGAGGGGTCATTTGGACTTCGATTTTGGTAATCTTTATATGTATAGACTCGTGGCGAGATAAGGAGTCCGTTGATGTTAAATTTTCTGATTTTCGAGAAGTGGGCCCGGGGCTCGGGTTTTGCTAATTTCGAGGTTTTCGCTATTTTTCGATTGTTTTCGATTGGGTATTGTTCCATTGGCATATTGTGACGTATTCGTTGTGGTTTTGGTCAGATTCGACGCGCGAGGAGGTCGATTTGAGAGGCAAAGGCGTCGCGAGCTAGAGATTTCGCCAGTTCGAGGTGAGTAATGATTGTAAATGATATTTTGAGGGTTTGAAACTCCGTATCTGCACATCGTAGTGCTATATTGAGGTGACTTGCACGCCGGATAGCGAGCGTGGGGTAGAGCACTGTTGGGAATTATGAGTTAGTCCGTCCCGGTAGATGAATATATTGCGTATTTGACTGAAATTCACTTATTATCATTTTAATTGAGCTGATTGCTATATTTGGGCTTCGTGCCAATTGATTGAATCCTTCAGGGATTGTTATTACTGGTTTCTTACCATTTGTGCATATCATTGAACTCAGTCCTAGTATTTAATACTGTTTTGCAAACTCAGCCACCTTTTCTTAAACTTGAAACTTAATTAATATTTTTAATGAAGTTTGGGCTAAATATTTCTATGTGATTGTGCCCAAGGGGCTTATGTGATTTTTGGACTGAGTATGGGATCGGGCTGCACGCCGCAGCGGTATGATATTGATATTCATATGAGGCCGAGGGCCTAGTTGATGCCACGAGATGGCTTATTATTGCGCTTGGGCTGTAAGGGGCCCCTCCCGGAGTCTGCACACCCCCAGTGAGCGCCGTCGACGATAAACGGATCGGGCTGCACGCCGCAGCGGTATGTGGAGCGGGCTGCACGTCGCAGCGGTACTAGTACTGTTCTGTGTGTTTACTTTATCTTATTTGCTTGCCTTTACCTGTTGTTTGTGCTACTTCATGTGATATCTACCGGATTTCCTGACATTATCTGTTTATTCAGTGTGGTGCCCGAGGGGCGGGCTTCTGTGCTTATCTGCACTATTTGAATTGCATTCGTTTGCATACTGTTGAAAAAGTCATTTTCAAAAGAGGTTTTAAACTGAGCTAAGATATTTCTAAAGATTTCACAGCTTCACTATTTTTCTCAAAAAGGTTTTACACTGCTCCTGTATAGCATGATGGTTTGCTCTACGTGATTTCTTACTGCTTAGTTGTCATTTACCCTTATTACTCACTGAGTTGGAGTACTCACTTTACTCCCTGCACCTCGCGTGCAGATGCAGGTATTGATCACCTGGTAGCGGGTTTTGGCTGATCAGAGGCAGAGCTATAGGAGTAGCGAGGTGACTGCCTGCGTTCGCAGCACCATTTTTTTCTCTCTTTTGGTTCATTATTCCGGCTTGTATATTTTAGGTCTTGTAGTTGTATTTTTACTCTGATAGATGCTCGTGACTTGTGACACCCCGGTTTGGGCTGTGTTTGGATTTTATTCTGCACTTATTAAAGAGACCTTTTGATAGACTGTGGTTATTTAAAATATATTAAATTAATATTAACTATTCTAAAATGATAAGTTGGGTTAGTTGGCTGGCCTCGTCTTCACGAGAGGCGCCATCACGACCAGTGCGGGGTTTGGGTCGTGACAGGATAGGAACATTGTGCTTGGCGAGTTGGAGAACTCAGAGAACCAATGTGATTTTAGGTTTTGTAGGCGTATTAAGATTGAGGAGGTTGAAGAGGTAATGCGGAAGATAAGTAAACGCAGGGCGACTGGGCCTGACGAGATTCTAGTAGAATTATGGAAGGTTGTGGGACGGGTAGGCTTGGAGTGGCTTACTAGACTGTTTAATGTCATTTTAAGACTAATAAGATGACCGTAGAATGGAGGTGAAGTTTGACGGTCTTGTTGTACAAGAAGAAGGGTGATATCTAAAATTGTAACAACTACAATGGTATTAAGTTATTGAGTCACTCTATGAAAGTGTGGGAGAGGGTGGTGGAGAGGAGGGTGAGGAGGAGTGTGTCTATTTCAGAGAATTAGTTCGATTTCATGCTGGGGCGTTCGACCACAAAAGCCATTCATTTTGTGAAGAGATTGGTGGAGCAGTATCGGGAGAGGAAGATGGACGTGCATATGATGTTTATCGATTCAGAAAAAGCTTACGATAATGTCCCAAGAGAGGTTCTATGGAGATGACCGGAGGTTAGTGGTGTTCCGGTAGCGTACATTAGGGTGATTGGGGATATGTACGATGGAGCGAATACTCGAGTGAGGACTGTGGGAAGAGACTCGGACTATTTTCCAGTAATGATGGGGTTGCATCAGGGTTCAACTCTTAGCCCATTTTTATTTGCCCTGGCGATGGACGTGCTGGCGCGCCACATTCAGGGGGGAGGTGCCATGGTGTATGTTATTTGCAAATGACATAGTGTAAATCGATGAGACGCACAACAGGGTTAACGATCGGCTGGAGTTGTGGAGGCAGACCTTGGAGTCTAAAGGTTTCGAGTTGAATAGGACAAAAACTAAATACTTGGAGTGCAAGTTCAATGTGGGGACGCAGGAAAGAGAAGTGGAGGTGAAGCTTGATACACAAATCATCCCCAAGAGAGATAATTTCAAATATCTCGGGTCTATTATTCAGGAGAACGGGGAGATTGAGCAGAATGTTACTCATCGTGTTAGAGCGGGGTGGATGAAGTGGAGGCTTACGTATGGTATTTTGTGCGATAGGAATGTGCCTCCAAGACTTAAGGACAAGTTCTACAAAGTGGTAGTGAGGCCGATTATGTTGCATGGAGTCGAGTGCTGGCCAGTCAAGAAATCTCATGTCCAGACGATGAAAGTATCAGACATGAGGATGTTGAGATGAATGTGTGGGCATACCAGGAAAGACCGGATTAGGAATGAAGTTATTAGGAACAAGGTGGGTGTGGCTCCTGTGGAAGACAAGTTCCGAGAATCGAGGCTGAGATGGTTTGGGCATGTGAAGAGGAGAGACACCGATGCCCTGGTGAGGAGATGCGAGAGGTTGACCATAGCATGGGTAGAGGAGAGGTAGAGGGAGGCCTAGTAAGTACTGGGGAGAGGTGATTAGGGAGGATATGGCATTACTTCAGCTTACCGAGGACATGACCCTCGATAGGGAGGTATGGAGGTCGAGGATTAGAGTTGTGGATTGACTGGTAGTCGAGAGTCTTTTCTAGTCGTACTAGTGTCACGACCCAAAAACCACAAGTCGTGGTGGCACCTAACTCAACCCGCTAGGTAAGACAACTAACAGAAAATACAACTCAACTGAGATTATAAGAGAATAGAGAATAGATAACTGAACATTTCTAAAGTTACCAAAGACCTGGTAGTACGACTCATGAGCTTTTAAGACTTGGAATTACAAAGCTGGTACAAATAAATACACGTTCTGTTTGAAAGATACATAAACAGAATAGTAAAACCTAAGCTACCAAGGACAAGAGGCAGTTATATCCAGAATGCGCGAACATCTTCAGAACCAACACTTATCACCAGCAACTATGCTCTACAAATCTGTACACATCGTACAGAAGTGTAGTATCAGTACAACCGACCCCATTACTGGTAAGTATTTTGACTAACCTCGTCGAAGTAGTGACGAGGCTTTTAGTTAAAAGATGCTTACTGTTATAACCAGTACATTAGATTAACAGTAAAAGGAGTTCAAAGCATAATAGATAAAAGTACCGTATACAACTCGGCGAGACAGTCAACAATTACTAAAAGGAATCACAGTAGAAGATTTACAATCTTTCCTGGTACGAGAAGTATATCCAAGATATCAAGTCAAACGGCACGATAACACCCTTCGTGCTTCTATCTCTGCCTCACCACACCACACACACACACACACACACACACACACACACACACACACACATATATATATATATATATATATATATATATATATATATATATATTTTGTGACAAATCAATTAGCACGGCAACACCCTTCGTGCGTTCAAAACATCCTCCCAAATGTATGAGTAACAGAACCAACCAGGTGACAGAAATATCGATAACAGGAATTACAAAGTAGGAAATACGCAAGTAACAACAATGGACAAAGATACACATGAACAATAAAAGACTAAGCGGAAAGCACGTGAGTAATAACAACAATTGGAAAACAAGGAATATTTCAATTAACTAGCATATTGGAGGCCTAAGTACAATTATAACAAATAACACGGAAATACATGATCTTTACAAGTTGACACGTAAGGGCATGAATAGCTAACATGGTGGAAGGCTTATACTAAGTGCTGTAGAATAGATACAACATGAGTATAATTGTAAAAGCAGGAAATAGGCATGGTATTTGCAAGTTAAGCAAGCAGAAGGTATGAGCAACACAACAACAATTGAAATAGATATCAATGATAAAACAATAGCAACAAGTCACATCAGGTCGATAATTATGACAGTAAGAGCTCAAGGTAAAGACATGAACGTATACACGAAAAACTGATATCAAACATAATGCATGTCCCTCATCCTCGCCTGCACGGAAACACCCATCGTGCCATGACCTCACGATAACACACAATCATAACAATATAAATGAAATGGCACGGCATCACCCTTCGTGCTTTACACTCTTCCTCACATGATAATGAATATAAAATGGCACGGCATCACCCTTCGTGCTTTACACTCTTCCTCACATGATAATGAATATAAAATGGCACGGTATCACCCTTCGTGTTTTACACTCTTCCTTACCAAGCATATGAATATCAATAAAATGGCAAGGCAGGAAGTATAAATAACATCGAGGAGAGTGTTCAAACGAATATTCCAAACAAATTCTCAATCATTGTTTTCCAAGCCAACAATGATTCAGTGAACCCTCAAGGGCCATATAATTCAACTACTTTCACAAATCCCACAATTTATCAAGAACACAAGTATGGAATCTAGCATCTCAAATTATCGGTCGTAGCAACGTATTAATAATTGAGCATAGAGATGACCGAATTAGACACAGCAATGTATTCTCAGAATTCCATCAAATTTGATCAAGTCATATTAGGCTAAGTCTCGATTCTAACATTTAATACTATGTTCTTAATATCTAGAAGTCAAGTAAGGCATGAAGCAAGAAAGTTATGTAATTCTACAAGACACAATTATGACATAATCTACCCCCGAGCATGATTAACCCTAGCACATACATATACGCTCGTCACCTCGTATATGTATCACCCTGTCACGACCCGGATTTCCCACCCTCGGGAGTTGTGATGGCGCCTACTCGTGAAAGCTAGGCAAGCCGAATGTTACAGATTTTATTACCCTTTTTCCCTAACCTTTTAACAATTTCAATTAACAGGCGATCAACAACGGAATAACAATAATAATAAAAGAAATGCGGAAGACGGAATTCTGATAATATAACTAAATACTAGTACAAATCTAAAATACAACTTTACCCAGAATTGGTGTTACAATGTCACGGACCATCTACGAATACTACAAACAGTGGTCTGAATAGAACAATACAAGTCTGTCTCTGAAATAATTAAAAATAGAATGGAAAAGATAGAAGGGTACACCAAGGCCTGCGAACGTCTGCAGGACTACCTCGGGTCTCCGCTGGACTGAAGGCAGCAACCTCTCTATGGTCTAAATGTTCCAGCACCGGGATCTGCACACAGTGCAGAGTGTAGTATCAGCACAACCGACCCCAGGTGCTGGTAAGTGTCGAGCCTAACCTCGGCGAAGTAGTGACGAGGCTAGGACAAGACTACCGAGTAAACCTGTGCAGTTAAATCATATACGGCAAGTAATAACAACAGAAACTAGCAGTTAAAGAGGGGAAGGGGGAACATGCTGCGGGGGATATCAAGTACTAACAGAATTTCAGTAGAGAAGCATAAAGAACACCATAATTTCATATCAGCAAGAATAAGGAAAACAATAACTAGTGCATGGCATCACCCTTCGTGCTTTTACTCTCGTCCTCACCATAAGAATCAATATTCACTTTTATTCTTTCTTGTTGCGGCGTGCAACCCGATCCCAATCACATAATACTGTTGCGGCGTGCAACCCGATCCCATATAATATTGTTGCAGCGTGCAACCCGATCCATATATATAATATTGTTGCGGCGTGCAACCCGATCCATATATAATATTGTTGTGGCGTGCAACCTGATCCCAATATACAAATCAACACCAATCACAAAAGAATCCCGGCAAGGGAACAATAGTATAACGACAATATCCCGGCAAGGGAAACAATAGTATAACAACAATATTCCGGCAAGGGAAACAATATCTTAAGCAATAACAATCCCGGCAAGGGAGACAATATCATAAACAATAACATCCCGGCAAGGGAGACAACAATATACTCATCTTGTTTCCACAATCCTCACAACATAAGACTCAACTTGAGCCAATGCTCAACAATGATCAAATTATCAAGAATACTTTCATAAGCCTTGTTCAACATTTATAATCATCATATTAAGCATGGACAATACATAACGGAGTCACAACAATCATAGTATAAGACTCACGGGCATGCTTGACACCAACGTATAGATACTCGTCACCACACCTATACGTCGTACTCAACACATAACACATAGGAAATAAGACCACAACTCCTATTCCCTCAAGCTAAGGTTAAGCCAAACACTTACCTCAATGCCACGAACACAATCAAGCCTCAACTACCGTTTTACCGCTCGGTTCCACTTCCAATTCGCTTGTATCTAGTTACAATTTACTTAACGATATCAATAAATGCTAAATGAATCAATTCTAATGCATGAAAATAGATTTTCTAATGATTTTCCCAAAAAGTCAAAAATCGACCCCGGGCCCACTTGGTCAAAACCCGAGGTTCGAACCAAAAGCCGGTTACCCATTCACCCACGAACTCAAATATATAATTTATTTTGAAATCGGACCTCAAATCGAGGTCCAAATCCCCAAAATTTGAAAATCCTAAGTTCTACCCAAAATCACCCAATTTCCGATGAAAAACCCTTGATTTTGAAATGAAATCATGTAAAAAGATGGATTAGATTGAAAGAAATGAGTTAGAAATGACTTACTAATGATTCGGAAGAGTATGTGCCTTTGAAAAATCGCCCAAGATGTTTTAGGGTTTGAAGAGTTTGGAAAATGGGAAAAAATCCCGTCAAAATTTCATTTAGCAGGTCTCAGTTGTCGCAATTGCGACCAGGGTTCGCAATTGCGAACCCCTTTGGAACCTGCTGTCTTCGCATTTGCGAAGAACTAGTCGCATTTGCGACTCTTCCCTTTTCGCATTTGCGATAAAAAGGGTCGCATTTGCTATCAAGGCCTGCCCAGGCTTGGTCCGCATTTGCGACGCCTGGGTCGCAATTCCCAAGCCTGAGAACTTCGCAATTGCAAAGCCTGGTCTCGCAATTGCGAGATCAGAGGCCTGGGCAAAAATACCAGATACCAGCAATCTTTCCTAAGTCCAATTTCACTCCGTGGCCTATCCGAAACTCACCTGAGCCCTCGCGGCTCCAAACCAAACATGCACGCAAGTCCAAAAACATCATACGGACTTGCTCGTGCGATCAAATCATCAAAATAACATCAACAACCATGAATTAAACCTCAAATTCATAAAATTACTCAAGAACATCAAAATTTCTATTTTCTCAACTATACGTCCGATTTATACCAAATCAGTTCCCATCTTTACCAAATTTCACAGGTTCAACTAATTATTATTTTAAACTTGTACCGGGCTCCGGAACCAAGATACGGTCCCGATACCATCAAGAATTTCATCAATTCACTTCTAAAAAGATTTTCCAACAAATAATTTTCTTTAAAAATTCTTTTCTCGGGCTTGGGACCTCGGAATTCGATTCCGGGCATACGCCCAAGTCCCATATTTTACTACGGACCCTACGGGACTGTCGGATCACGGGTCCGGATTCGTTTACCAAAAATGTTGACCAAAGTCAACCTTAATCAATTTTAAAGGCCAATTTCATTATTTTTCTAAAATTCCACATAAAAGCTTTTC